TTTTTTTTTTTTTTTTTTGCAGGGGTGGGGGGAAGCTCAGAGAACTGCCTTTGCATCTTTATGTGCTCGATAAATATTGGTGAAGATGTGCTGATAGGACCTGGACATATGAAAAGTGTCGATTGCATTGCATTAAGCCTTTCTAAAAGTCATTACAAGGCACCAAATAACTGTGTCAATTAGTTGCCATCCAGAACATGACTAGAACAGTAGGCTCATCTAGTATTAAGACATGAACTCCATGTGATTTCTGAATCTGGGCTCTCTAGAAATTGGGAGATCTTAAGCATGTTACATGTGCCTCAGAGGGCTTGGGCCTCAGTTAGCAGCACATGAGTTCTGAACATCTCTGGACGCTGCTCTTTCTTTTCTGCCTCATTACTTTAGGATTCTGAGAAATGGTGTCAAACACCTAGCTTGCTCCAAAGTGTGACCAGATATGGGGTGTCACCATCTCCTAATTTTCCTTGAGAGGTATGTCTGTAGGTATGAGCTAGGTCAAAATTTTATTTATTCACACATCCAGTTTGTGGTCAGTTAGACTAGATTTTTAAGTATGTCTTAGGGAAATATAACCTCACCAAATAAGGTTGCCCACAACGGTAGAGTTCCGTAGTCAAATGAGTTTAGGTTGCTGACTTCTCTGAGATTACACTATTTGTAAGTAATTTAAAGGCTTGGATAAATTTTGGAGAAGCTACAAACTAATTTGACTGTGAAGCATGTTTAATTGTGTAGAATACCTTAGTAGCTCAGAATCATATACCATAAAACAAAAGTTAGGGAATGATTGTCCAGAAAAACAATTTAGAGAATCACAATGGCAGCTAGGTATTTTGCAACTTCTACACATATCAACTACCAATTGATTTTGCTACAGGACATCAGTGGGAGAAGATTCCTTTGAGCAGCACTGGCAACCAGGAGATAAGTAGAGCCTCGGACAGTATTATGGAACAACTTCTACAGAAGACAGACGAGGAGAGTAAGAGTAAACCTATCCGGGCAACAGAAATTGAATGGTTGGGATTTCAGAGACGTAGCCAAGTTGTTGTATTGCATTCTAAGCAGGAGGAGGAGGAGGAGGAGCAAGAGGCTTGGGATGAAGAAACTAATGATGATGATAATTGCGATGATGATGATGAAGATGAAGTCCGAGTGATAGAATTTAAGAGAAGGCATGACGAGGGCCCCCAGTTCAAAGAAGAAGGTGAAGTAAATGCGGACTCTCCACTAAGCAGCCCCATTTCACAACCTGTGACACCCGAAGAGCCTCCAGCCTTAGGGAAGAAGGGTGATATCGCTAGAAATGCTTACTCAAGATATAATACAATATCCTATCGGAAGATCAGGAAGGGGAACACCAAGCAGAGAATTGATGAATTTGAATCTATGATGCATTTATAGACTAACTGGAATTGAGAAATTCTCCGGCTCGCTAAAACAAAAGCTAATTTTATCCTGCTGCGAATCTTTCTATATCTTATTTGAATTCTCCCCTTGAAAGATATGCAAGTTTGCAGGGTTTTTTTTTTTCCACTGTAGAATCATGTGGAAATAACCTTAGAGTTCAACCTGGTCACTTCAAATTAAAAAACAAAACAAAAACATGTTAGATTAATTATTGGGCATTTGCTTTTTCAAACTTCACTAATATTGCACTAGTGCCATAAACATTAAAGAGACAGCCTCACTATGTAATCTGGCACAGCGTGGCTTAGAAAGCAGTACACAAATGAAAGAGGTGACTGTGTGAAATGACTCCTATTTTAGGGGTGTCTTTCTTACTGCATATTGAGGTGATGAAAAGCCCGGCATTAAATCTCTCTTACTTTTAAACATGGGTGTATGTACTCTGCCAATAAACTTCCAAAACTTTGTTCCTTTCGTTTTATCCTCAGAAAGCATTCTAAAGGGTTTTCATTGGCATCTACCGAGTGGAATTCTAGAGGCCTCCTTCCCAGGTGTCACCATTCACTGAATTTTCTCACTAGCAGGGCTGTCACTCAGGAGAACTCTGCTAAATGTTTGCTTTATGCTTTCAAATTGAATTAAACCCATTGTGAGACCAACACAAGGAGGGGCTAGAAGATTGGTGGGCAACAGACCAGAGGGTTATATTGGTTCGCTTTATTTCTGTGGCTGAAGATAAATCTTGTCTAGCACAATTAAACCATCAAAAATAAGAATGACAGTTTTAGGACAAATGTAAGAAAATACTGCTCTCCACAACTGCACTTTTTCTTATTAACAGTATCTCAGAATAATTTTACTTCCTTAGACATCTGAGACAATGCTAATCATCAACGTGCTGGTTACTATGAGAATAAAAATAATTATCCTAGAATACTTTCAAAGTAGGGTATGAGCATGTATTTTTAGTGAGAAGACTGATACTTGTTGGGAATATATAATTTACTGGACCTAGGCCCAAATCAAGAAGCTTAAAATTGTACTTGTGGAGCTTCACTCAAACCAACATGTCAAATAATGTATTGAATATTTATGAAAGAGGCTATGTTTATATTCTTAGATAGTTTGTTCCACAATTTTTCATTTCATGCTTCCATATATATCACCCTGAACTTTCTGTTACCATAGATAAAAATATCTTTTGTCTCTGCAAATAAAAAGACAATTCCTTATTGTCTGAATGTAATACAGTCTTCATTGTACCATTCAATCCTATGTTTACTTCTTTTTCACTTTTCAAAAAAGGCTGGGTTAGTCTTTCTTAGGTTATTGCTTATTTATGTGTAATAAATCCCATACATGAATGTGGCAACTTTTTTTTGATTCTTCCTGGTCATATAATATATTTCCATAGTATCATGTACCATTGTTGAGTGTTTATAAGACTTGGTTTTGAATTCAGGTTTAGCGTACTCCTTTTATCCTTTTAAACAGATGGGTTACAACCTGATCATGTAAAAGGTGTGACCCTTAGACTATAGAAGCTGAAGATTTCACTTGATATAATGTGAGTCTTTAGAAGAAAGTGAGGGACATAGGGTCTTTATTGATAAAGTTAGGTAGGAGATTGATGTACTAAAATAATTTCCTGGTTAATTTAGATCTCTAAATCTTTCTTTCTGGACAACCTATTTTCTTTCCTGGATTACTGATGATGCCTATAATTTTCTACTTAACATCAAAGCCCCGTATTGTGTTATCCATCATATAATAGGACCCTATTGTTAATTTGCCTTATGAGAGCCTGTGTTTTAAGTTATTTCAATAGAGGGTATGAATTCTTGTGAAATTTGAGTGAGGTGAGTGGACTGTAGCTCTGTGATTTGGCAAAGCAATTGGCTTTGATGGAACTCCAATGTATAGTAATCCTGATTTTAAAAAATTTTTAAAACCTGTGTGCTCTCACTAAACAATTAATCAACGATGAAATGTTATATCGATGGCTAAGCATGGTGGTACACACCTGTAATCCTAGCACTCAGGAGGCTGAAGCAGGAGGACTGCCACAAATTTGAGGCCAGCATTAACTACATAGTGAGTTCAAGGCCAGTTTGAACTACATAGCAAGACCCTGTTTTTTTTTAAAAAAAAGTACACTGTTTTATCAACAAAAACTATTTTGGAGTATGGTCAATTGGTAAACACTTCATGTTCATGGATGGAGTGATGGAGTTGTACCAGAGCACCTACATTACTCTTTGACTTTGGGAGCATTGCCCTAAATTGTGTCGTATACCAAGGTTACACTGTTGAGGAACCTTGAGTAACATGACAGTGATGAATGGTTGTCTGAGATCTTACATCTAGGAAGATGAAGGTCTTTATCAGATTGAATGGGGATATTTAACAGATCTGAAACTCATGTGAGAAAGGACTCAGAACAGAAATAAGTAATTATATGAAGATTTTTCTGAAATTTTGTTATTCAAGCTTCAAAGTGGTCAGGACTCTGGTATCTGACAGGAAGGGAAATTGATTCATTGCAAGAATGCTAATATTTACTGCATGATTTTACTTTTTGTTACCAGATGAGCTGGAATTAATAACTTTATTTATCTTTAAATATGAAATTTACTTTTCATGAAATGCTGCATTTGAAGGCACAGAATTGGCTAGAACCTGCCTATCTCTTTCATATATAGAGATATTAACAATTTAAATAAAGAACTGTTGTGCCTGACTTGCTTTCAATAAAAGTTGTTGTCTTTATTTGTGGTCTCTAGACTTTATTTTCTTTAGCTTCCCTTCAGAATTTAGTAAGAAATATTCCATGTCAGCAACTACTAAGATCATCAATAAATGCCTCTTCAAAAAATCAAGAGAACACCTTATTCCAATTAATTTGCATTATTTCAGAAGAATCTTAAAATCATTACATATGAAATTGCAAAAAGAGTTTCTGGTGGACAGATATTTAATGTATATAACATTTTTCTACTATTTTTAAAGAAACTGAGATATTGTTTTAGATGTATATAAATATCAACAACTTGAAAGATGTATATTTATCTTTTAGTCATTAAAGGCATGCATTTAAACAGTGCTGACACTTTTATCATAAGCGTTTCTGCATATTTCTGTGAGGTAACACTTTTAGCAAATTTACAAATGGAAAACAGACATTTAAATTTTTCACAGCGATAGGGAAAACATTTAAAATAAGTAATAATAGAGAATTATGGGAAAGGATGAAACACCAGCATATAATAAAGAAGAAATATGTTTGGCCATATGATAAAGGCAACCACTTCTCTTAAAGCCTGAACTTTCATTGCTCTCTAAAAACAAGAGGGCTATAAAAAGTAATGTCAAAAGTTATACTTGCCAATATTAAAATATCAGACCATAACATAACACCATAAATACAAAGACCAAAATGTGTACAGGCTCATGAAGAACAGGAGATGGCCAGACCATATAAACGATGCAAACAGTGACACAGGCAGTAATAGAGGCAGAAAACAACCAGAGACATGGTCAAATACAAAATAAAACAATCACAGCTAGTCACTAACTGGTATTTCAGGACAATTTTAAAAATGAATTTAGAAAGTAATTTGCATTTATCTATAAATTTCAAATTATATGTTTGATTCCTTCTTTATATTAGTTTCAGTAAAAGTGGGTAATTAAAAATGTTTAGAAGAACTGGAAAAATTTTCTCTCCCTTCTTGTTTTAACCTTGTTCTCCCACTAACAAATGTTTTCAGTTAAACAACAGAATTACCCATTGGATCTTTGCTTTCTTTTGTTTTTAAGCCCACTTCCCGTAGCAGTTATATATAAAATTAGTTAAGGTTGTTTGGAGCAGAATAAAATATGTCCATAATCCTAACTGAAAAATAAGCACTCTGATAATTTAGAATCTCACTATTCCTTTAAGTCTGTAAAACAGTATCCTGGGTGAAAGTCTACTTGAAATACTTTTGTGGCAAAGGCCAGATATAGACAAAGCTATAAGAGCTAAAAGCATTCAATGACACTTAAAATTTTTCCTTATTTTGCAAGTAGAAACTCTTGGTTTTACTTTCTCCCAGTTTAAGCATCACACACACACACACACACACACACACACACACACACACACACACACACACACACACACACACACACACACACACACACACACACACACACACAATATATATATATATATATATAATTTTACAAAAATTGTCATTTTCATATGATCAGGTAAAGTTCAAAATCTTTATTCATATTACCAAAAATTTTAATTTCAAAATCTACTGTAAAATCTTTATTCATATAGGTATATATAATGAATATCTTTAGACAAATATCTATCAGTTAATAATAGAAATATATTTGACTATATAAAACCTCTGTTTTCAAAGAAATTATTTCTCATTTTATGGTAATTTTCCTTATTAGAAATTCAGCATATTTGAAGTTGCCCTATGTGTCGGAAAATGAGAATTTTCACTTGTGTTTTTACAAAGCAAAGGTAAACTTGAAGAGGGATCCTAATTAAAATGGTGATAATTGATCCATTAAGTTGAAAACAAATGCATTAAATTCTCTTTGTGTGATCTTTTTTTTTCTTTGAGACATGGGTACCACCAAACCTCAAATGCCTTTGCCCTTGTTGAGGAATAAAATACTTGGTATAGCTTATTCAAACTTGTCGATGTAGTATTTGTCAAAAAAAAAATTTTTATGCAATATCTTTGGTTAGTGTTTCTTTTCTTATTTTAATGCAATTTGGCTTGCAACAATTTTTGAATAACCCATGCAACAGTTGTTGCAAAATTACTATAGTGACAACTGACACAATGAGATTGATAGTTATGGTTTGAATTTTAAATTGAAGGATTCTTCAAGTTTTATGTTTTTCATCTGTGCTCAAATGGAACAATTTATCAGCTTTGCTTAAAGACTTGGTGAAGAAGGAGCTGGTATTAGTAACAGAAAAGCAACTACATGTTTATTTCTGTTTCTTATATGTGATAGAAAAGATGGAAAACAACAAGTCAAGGGTATAGGTCCTTGCAAGACATCCGGAGTTATGACACTTATTCCTCCACTTAAGTTACTTAACATAGAGAGAGAGAGAGAGAGAGAGAGAGAGAGAGAGAGAGAGAGAGAGAGAGAGAGATTTCATTTCCTGTCTGTTCATCATTGAAAATGTGGAAATGGCTTGAGCTCACCTCATTGCATTATCTGAGACATCAACAGTCTATAATCAAGGGGAATTTTAACTGGGCCTGACTACATTGATTATTCTATTTATTTAATTATATGTTAGGGAAAGAAATTTTCTTTGGCTTAACCAGATAGAATGGTAACTATTACCTCTTACTAGTGGGGTGACCAATTCTTTCATCAGCACAGTGGATACTCATTTTTTTAATCTGTGTTAAGAGAGGAATGTGACTTACTGCATCGATGTGGACCACTCAGTGGGAGGGAGCACCTGTGTGCACAGTACATAGTGAGTACTCAGTGATGAATAGCTCCTCTCTTTTTTTATCTTCACCACTTGTTATTTTCTTATCTTTGTAGAAGATACTGAGACCTTCAGCTGAGGTATTCGATCTTGTGTTTTGAATATGAAACTTAACATAGAAATGTTTGAAAGCTAAGGAAGATACTATCTTTTGTGCTTCAGCCCAATTTTCTACATAAAATATCTTTAAAAATAATTTTTAGCTGTTTTTAAAATCAAGATCAACCTGGAATATTGAATTTGGCACACAGCAATTGCTATTTTTGCCTCTGTGCAGTTTCCCAGGCAGTGCTAGGAGGAAGATGCTTTAATATCTAAGCGAATGGTTCCAGATTAGTGTGGGGAAGCTAATGATACATTGTGATCATGGTTCCTTGCATCCCTGTGAGGGACAGCTGATTGAATGTCAGCAAGCAGAACTGGGCAAATTTGATGCTGGAGATAAAACACAGTTGTACCAACAACAGCTGTGTCATGCTACGGGCAAGTAGGGTAGAAGCTCTGGGCAACTGTTGAAGAGAGAAAGGAATTGTGCACACTGAAAGGCACAAAAACACTTTGATGGTTTGGTAAGCTAATTTTTTTTCTAATCAAATAAGTCCGGTTAATATTATCCAGTGTTCAAGTTAAGATGGACAGCCATTTTTTTCTAATAAAGACAATAATCTAAGCCAATTCAAGGCAATCCCAAGAACATAGCCTCCTTCTTGGAGAATTTGGGGCTGATTAGGACTCACACATTTCCCATTCATGGGGTAATGATTATCTTTGATGATCTATAGCAGCATTTTTATGCTTAATGCAGTCTTCTAAAAACAAAAATTAGAAGATAATCATATTTTCTTTTTTCAAAGCTGTAGGTAGTAGATATGACAATTAGTCAGTAACGTCAAAGGAAGGCTCACACAGATTCCTAACCGGTGATTAGCTCTTTGCACCTTAGAGGAATTGAGCAGATATATGATATATGAAAAATATATGAAAAATTCCTCTCAAGCACAAATAATACGATGCTCCAAAACAATCCTTGTTGCTATTGGCAATATAAACTCAATTATAGATTTATATAATAAGTATGTCAAGGTAAAATCAGTAAGAACATATGTTAAGCAGACTGGAGAAGGATCTTTTGAGACAAATATTCAGCTTTCTTTAGCTGGTATACCTCAAGGTAGGAGTATTCAAAGTATGAATCATCCTTTTCTGAACAAGCTTGACTTTGTGGAAACTGGTTTTGGATAAAATAGAAATTCTATAGGCTGGGGGAAGGGCTTTCAAAATTGTTCAGTTACACGAAGAACTACATGAGGCATCTAGCGTGGCCAGCAATTCAATTAGTACTTTGGCAATGAACTTGTCCCTCCCCCACCCCCAAATGCCTGTTTTGAAAGGAATTATATCATTTTCTAGTTGTTCTTTTATCTCATCTGCAATTGTAAATTATCTGAATAAAACATTTTAAATATGTCACAAATGTTCAAAAATGTTCCTCCTTCCTACTCTTAGTTAATAGCTCTGCTTTTGTGTAATTAGTTGGAAGTTAAAAATCGAGTGTTAAATAGGAAGTAAGAACTAAAAATTCCCAATTTTAGCATCATCTCAACCGAACAAAAATTTGAGGAAAAAAATTAAAAAACCTAGCACAAATCGGCCTGGCTACTCCACAGTGATCCAACCTCAGCAAGCCTTAGGTTTATGTATCTCTTTCTAAGAACTGCTGTGCAACTTGTTTGTTGAAGCCAATGGAGTGAGTGAAGCTGTGAAATGAGCTATTTCTCCACAGGTATTGATCCTACCACTAATTGGCTTATGATTTGTAGACAAGTAATTTGTCTTTGAGTATCAATTTTCTTACCTAAATGACTATAAAGGATATCCTGATTTCTAAGTTTTTGTTTTTGGCAGGCTAAGTATTGGTATAGGTATATTTAAGATGACAGCTCAATTTTTAGCAAGGAAGTAGTTAACTTTCCCACAGATTTTCTATGTTAGCATTGGGTTCATATTTAGAGCTTTGCTCTTTTTCTCCCCCCTAGAAGGACCAAGGCCTCCTTCTTTGGCCAAGTTTAGGGCAATTTTTTCTTAGCGCTTTTCCTAAGAATTGTTTATTCATTTTTCTTTCTCTTTCATTATGTTTCTTTTATTTTTACTTTGCAATCTTTTAAAGTCCATTTTTAGCATGCTTCATCCCAGGGAAGTAATATTTTACCGCTTTTATGTAAAAAACCTAGCATTTCTCAGTACTCTGTTTCCATTTTGTTTCGACTCCTCTCACATGGTTCTACATTATAGTGTGTTCAATAATTATATATTTTTGGTGATAACTGTGTGTTGTGAACCAGCCTCTTAAAAAAAAATAAGTTTGAGACCAGGGATTTAGCTCAGTGGTTTGGCTGCCTGCCTTGCAAGTGCTATCCAAGTGCAAGTGCAAGTACCAGTTCTATCCCTGGTACAAAAAAAAAAAAAAAAAAAAAAAAAGTTAAAAGTTATGGATGTGACCATGTTTTTAAAGTACAGATTTAAAAATGAGTTGAAACATTGTACATATCTATAATTAAATGAGTATTTAAAGGCCTAATTTCTCACTTAAAATTGTCTCCACTGACTTAGAATGAGAAAAAAAAGTTATATGGTAATCTAGGTCAAAATTATTATTTGCTATTAGGTAAGGTTATTAATAATTGATCAATACTATTTTAAACTGGTCAGAATGCATTAGTCTGGAGGGGTCACAACAGGGTGGTAGCTTTATGTATCTGTCTAAGGTCTTGTAGCTATAAGAATTCTAGCACCTATGTTTGGTGAAAAATTAGACAATGGAGGACAGGTTCTCACTGCTTATTCCTCTACTTGTTGGCCAAAAGACCTAGATATTATGCAACATTACCATCATATCACTGTGCCTCTCCACATCTGCCTTCATTTCCAGTTACCTGTGAGATTCTTGGAAGAAACTTGCAGGAAGAATTCCAGGACAGGGCAGGAAGAAGGCAATTCCAAAGGCCACCCAGGGCTGAAAAGGACTCTAGTCCAATGGTGGACTGTTTCCCTGAATAGTCTTCTGGTATCTCAAATATTGTGACTTGTAAAGATTCTCTCTTCAAATGCTATTAGAATTGAAAATGGAAATGACATTGAGAAATACAGCCACCAAGTTTACTGGTATTTTCATAGTATCCAATGAGTTCTCAGATAAAAACATTGGCTCCTATTCAGTCTTCATAGTAATTTTCAAATTTCCACTTTTGATGCGGTTTCACTGAGTCACAAGCAGCTAGCTTCAGGGTCTTCTGAGAAAAGTTTCCTTCCAAGCATAATAACTGTGGCGAATTTTCAAAAACAATGTGATTTACCTGGAGCAAAAGAGGATTTGGGCATAAATCTCCAGCTGGATTTAACAATGGAGATGCAAAAAAAAAAAAAAAACAACAACAAAGGAACCCTCTCTCCAAAGGATGAGTAATTATATTTTTTATTCCCTAGAAATTCTCTTGAACTAAATTAGTAACATAAACACAGACTTTGGAAAGTATTGTTTGTCTTGTCTCAAACTAAGTTATATTCTCTAAGCTATCAGACTTAAATTTTCAGGAATCAAAAGATCAATTTTCTAGTGGTATAGCTAGTAACTATATTATTTAAAGAAACAATTCTAAATGTCATCTAATATGTTCATTGATGATGACTAACTCACTGGTGGTGGTAAAAAAACACACATGCCATGACAAACTATTAAGTTCCTATTTTACAAGGCACTTTGCTATAATAGTGATATATTTTGTTTATGATCTCTTTGTCATAATTTTGCTTTGTTTTGTTTTTTGTCTTTTGAGATGATCTCACTATGTAGTTGGGACTGACCTGGAACTCATTATGTTGCCCAGGCTGGTCTTGAACTCACAGCAATTCTCCTGCCTCAGCCTCCTGAGTGCTGGGATTACAGGCCTGCACCACCGTGCCTGGCTTTACCATAATTTTTGATAGTACATAATCTGATGTATAAAGTCAGGTTAATAGAAAAGAATCAAAGGTATTTCAAAGGGTGCTATCATTTAATAAGTATTGAATATCCTAAAATGATAGCCTATTTAGAATCTCCTCACATTTTTCAAATTTATAAATTCTCTCAACCACTAACAACTATGACAAAGGTAATCTTATAATTTAAATATTTTAAATTATTTTGAAAATTTTACAAAAGCAGGAATGATTTGCATAATAATTTACTTTAAAGATGTCCCTACAAAAATATCATCACCTTTGCAGGACTTCAAACATATAATGTTAGTGTGTATTTAGGGTGTTTTAAAGTGGTTGGTTTTGATGAAAATCATTTTGTGGCTACAGTGTTCTGCCAGTGAGTTGTAAATGAGTAACTAAATCACATGTTTCCCAACCTAAAGACCTGTGATGTAGGAACCAGTGGGTGGTGAGATGCTCCATATGCAAAGCAATGACCAGTGAGAATATTCTTTAGGGAGGCAAAAACTGAAGGCATTTGGGGAAAAGATGTCTAGGAAGCATCTCTGAGATGCAGATTTATGGGCGGATCATTTGAACAACTAATACTATCTGGGGTTAAGCTCACTACTATACTTTCTTCCTCTATGAAGATTCTAACATCTAATTCTTTCTAAAAGGAGATAGTTTTCCTGTTACTCACATTCTCTTTTCCTTTGAGATTTAGGTTCTTTGAGGACTGTTATAGTTTGGGGTTTAGTGTGTAAGGTTTAGTCCCGGTGGTGCTGTTGGGATGTGGTGGGTGCTTGGAGAGGTAGGGCCCAAAGGAAGCCCATTGGTGTGCATAACCTTAACGATGACTGTGGGAGCCCAGTCTCTTCTCTTTTTTGCTTCCTGGTCCTGAAATGAATGGTTTTGTTGTACCAAGTGTTCCCGCTACAACGTGCTGCCTCATCATGGCCCAAAAGAGCAAACTGATCCTGAACTTTGACCTCCCAAACTTTAAGCCAACACAAATATTTAGTCTTTATAATTTGATTATCTAAGATGTTCTACTATAGTAATGGAAAGCTAACACAAGGGTTAAGGAGATTTAATATAAAAAACTATTACAAAAGTGATAAAAGAAGAAAGTCAAACACTGAGATATTCTTTTCCATGACTGTCTAGTAACATCAAAAGGGAAACACAAGGCAGAAAGCACGTAGGTAGCATGTCACAGAGACACAGGTACAAACAACGTAGATCAGCTTCCAGCTTGTGCTGTCTTAATTAAATTACCTTCTTTATAAAATCAATTTGTCTTTGGAAAGGCCTACCCTAAATGCTCATCAGAAATCTTTTCCAAGATTTACTTCTAGAGATTAAGAATGTGTTTCAGTTATTGTCTCTCTTTCTTTCTCTTTTTTCCTTCCTTCCTTTCCTTCCTTCCTCTTTTCTTTCCTCCCACCCTCCCTCCATCCCTCTCTTCTTTAGCAAAAGGATAAAGGACAAAGTAAGATGTAATTTATTCAATAGATGATTATGAATTCCCTAACAGTATGCAAGATGAAAATATCCACTTATATACCAGAAATTTTAATTTTTCTGACAACTTGATAGTAATCATTGCCATTAAAGAGAAAAAATTTTGTCCAGAATGAATTAAAATATAGCAGAGAAAAAAGGATTAGAGGTCCCATTTGACCCCAGTACTCCCCTGCTGGACATCTTCCCAAAAGAATTAAAATAATCACAGCACAGAGATATATGTTTATATTACCCATGTTTATAGTGGCACAGTTTATAATAGCTAAAACTTGGTAGCAGCCCAATTTCCCATTAGCTGGGGACTGGATAAAGATGTGGCTTGTTTATAAAATGGAGTACTACTCAGCCATAAAGAATGATAAAGTAGAGACATTTATAACTAAATGGATGCACATGAAGGCCATACTCTTAAGTTTATTTACATGTGTAAACACCAAATAGTTTCTCTGGTATGAGAAACTGAAAGTGTAAATAAGGATCAAAGTGTGTAATAGATAATGTGAAATGGGAAGAAAAGATCCAAAGAGGAAGGGGCAGGGTGAGGGGTAGGGGAAAGGAATGAATGTGAGAAAAGAAAAGAATGGAAACAAAGTCTTTGTAAATAGGGAGGGGTAAAGGGCTTGAAGGGAGGGCAGGGGAATGGGGTACTAGATAAGAACCAAGATATATCATATAAAGGTACAAATTCCCAATGATGAATGTCGTCATATTGTATATTTAAAATGTACCAATAAACTTAATGAATAAAAATATATATAACAGAGAAAGTCAAATGGATATAGGTTTGGAGAATGCATTGCTCAAGCCTTGATTTTGGCTCTGAGCAGAATAGTCACCAACTACAATTTTGAAGGAAAGACACCCTAATCAGTGGAGGCAGCCCAAGGAGGAAAGGTGGCAGGCAGCTCTCGACAGAATAACAGCTTCCATTGTTCAATGCATTGAGTGGATTTGGTAGCTAATTGCTAGTGAGATGACAGAAAATTTGAGAATGCAATCTTGAAATTATTCCTGCCATCTCAAGATCCTTCACCAAAGCTTCTGACTATACATATTCTGTTAAAATGTAATTGGGAAAAACGGAGTGAAATTTGTGAATAAGAATACAGTAGAACAGGTATATTCTGGCAAATACTGAGGACTGAGCTCTGGAAACATATTTCCTGATGCAGTAGCATCTGCTAGTTTCTATAGTATGAAGATTCTCCCCACAGCAGATTTCAAGCTACCAATGTGATAGCTGGGAACACACAATGGTGAAGAAATTATATGGTCAGCTCTCCTAAGCTGGAGAGCTCTGGTTCCTACATTCTTCACTGAGGCCAGGTCTTTGGACCCAACTGGGGCTGAGAAAAAGTTCTCTTGTATGGAAAGAGGAAAGAATGAAGAACTGGACTCATCCTCAAATGCAGAGACTCTAGTAAGCATGTAGCTTCTTGCCTTTTCCTTATATTTTCCCTGTAAGCTTTTAATGATTTCAGCCTATAGGCCTTCATTTTAGCATTGTTGATTGGAGGAAGCAGGGGGCATTTAGAAACAAAGGAAGTCACTACTGACAATGTAGTCATAAGAACAGGATGACTTCTTTCTAAAATAATTCTTTTGAAACAAATTTTAAAAAGAGAAAAATAGATGACATTCTATAAAAAAACAGTTTATCTTTCTGAGTGAATTTTTACTCTGCTTCTGTTGTCACACACATTTAAAGCTTCTGATTGAGGGAACTGACAATGAGGATTTTATGTTCTGCTTGATTAAAAGGTGAATTCGTAGCACAGGGGAGGTATATAATTTTGCTTACCAGGTCTGGATGGAAAACTGATGTTGATTTGTGCAACCATCTCAGCCCTTTGTTTCTGTTATCGCAGGTATACAGCTCCAGGGAAACTTTATCAGGAATGGGGGCTAAACACCATTCTTCATGTTTAATAAGTCTTAACCAGGTATAATTAAACTGCTGAAGCTATAGAGGAAATGAATAAAGAAAAGGTCACTTCAGGCAGCAAAGAAACTTTGCCAAACATTTTTGTTAGCAATCGTTGCTTTGGTTTTATTTATTTATTATTTATTTGTACTGGAGATTGAACCCAGGGCCATCTCACTGTGTTACATCTCCAGGCTCCATCCCCTTAAATTTGTTTTTAAAACTTTTCTCAAGTTCATACCAAGTCAGTTGTCCAGGCTGGGCTCAGACTTGAGATCCTCCTTCCTCATCCTCCCATGGGGGGAAATTACAGTTGCTTATCACCAACCCTGGGTTAATAATGATTTATATTCAAATTCCAATGCTACCACTTTCAGTTGTGATAGTATGAACACTTTGTTTACTCAGTCTCATTTTTTCATTTTTAAGTTGGATATAAAAATTTTCTCAGAGTTGGGGTAATGAGGATCAAATATTTAGTGCACAAGAAATCCTCCACAAATGTCAATGACAATAACAAAAATGATTAGAGTATTACGATCAGTACATATCTGCATAGGATGCTCTTTAAGGCATTCTGAATTCTAGATAACTCTGATGCTTCAAGTATTGAAATTTGTAAACCATCCCTGATTCAGTTTCTCAGCCATGGGTGGTTTCAGGGAGATCAGTCACATTCTTAAATTTCTTCGGTGAAAATTATTATGCCTTCTTGTTTCTGACTATCTAGAAAATTGGACCCTTGGCTTTTTCTATTGTAGGAAACATTAAAATTTTTTTGCTGCAAGCACAAGGAATCACGAGGTTGCAGCCACATTAGAATCCCTCAATTTTATAGATGCCGCTCTCGGAGAGGTCTAGTTCTAAAGAATTGACAGTGACTCAGATAAACTCTGATTCAGGAAATGGATCCATGTTTTCAATCCTTAAAAATATTCTCTACAAATATTCTTTACAAGCTAGTATTTTCTATCTGCTCAACTTATTATTGTAAAGCTACTAAGATAAGCTAGATATTACTTTGTAAATGAACATCTCAACTGACTTAAAAGTTAAAAACTAAAGGGATTGTTTTTATGTAGTGTAAGAGTGGTGTTTGATGGCTCAGTATGAGGGCTTTATTCCTTTCAAACTTTTTTGGCTGAATACTGTTTCATGGGCTTGCTATCAATTCTGATTTGTACTTAACCCAATTTAACTCCCTTGATGTTTCTGTCCCTTAGGTAAGCCACAAGAGACAGAGGTAAAAATGAGCAGTTAGATAAAATGGGAGATGAGCTTTGTGGAAGACAGTGGCTACATAACTCACACCTTGGTCTCCTTAAACAAAAACTCTGTGGTTACCAATATTAGAAGTAGAGTTTTCAGAAGAAATATTGTACCAGGTGCAATATGTCCCTATTGTGGCAAATCTTGAAAAAAACGTTATTTAATACTTGCATATAATTTAGACTAATTGTGGTATTGTTTTACAGTTTATGGTTTTATTTTCATTTTGAATTCTTAATAAGCAAGTCATTTCTTTCAATTGATTGCTTTGATAATTTTCACTTCTCTGTCTCCACTCCTCCCTAATTAATAAAGAGTTCCCAAGGGTTTAAGTTTAGAATCCGCAGTTGAATTGCAGCAGCAGGGATATTCTTCTAGTTTTCTTATGTTTGGAAATTGAAGAAATATTTCTAAGTCAAAAAAAAGACTTAGTAAGCCTTGGCTATTGGCGCAAAATAATCTTTTTCTACCAAAGAGTAATCTGTAATTTTTGGAGACTGATTGCTACTCAAGAACTAGTGTTCCTCTGAACCACATTTGACTAACAGATAGCTATTCCCAAACAGGTAGCTATTCCTGCAGAAGGCAGACTTGTTAGGGAATGTACGCTGGGGAAGCAGGTGTGATCACTGAGCTCACCTGCACCACAGCAGGAGTCCCTGCTCTGCTTCCCTGGGTCCTACTCCCTCTCCTAGTAGTTCTGCTCCAAGTTTGCGGGAGTTTTGCTCTAGGATTTTCCATTGTGGATCAAGGATTATACGACTCCCGTTACTCTCTGAAGATGCATGAGGGATGGAATCAGAGAATAAATTGCTTCTTTGGGACAATTACTTAAAATATCTTCTCTCTTTATTTTTTCTATCATCTTATGTTTGTATGTTATCCATTTTTTTACACTCATTTTTTCTTATTTTTATTTCAGTAACATTTACAGAGCACTGAGGATTAGGTATTGTTCTACAAGTTTTTATGTTACCTATTCCAGCCTCACTCCTAGAGGTGAGCACTATCATTACTATCACTTCCCCAAAGGTTCCAGAATTTTCAAAATTAATACAATTATGCAAACAATGATACATGCTGGGTCCAATGGAAAACTTTGGTAACCACACTTTTACTCTTTCAGTTACTGTTATTGCATTTCGTAGTAGATTCTTACACGAGCCTTATAATTATACTGGAGTTCAGAGGATAATTATGGGTTTCTACTTAGTGAAGATACACTTCTTAAGTAATCAACAAATACGTAAAAGGCTGCACCTATCAACCACGAGGTAATCTCCAGCTAAGCATACCTTGCTGCTCCCCTCGCAGTCTTCAAGAATGGCTGTGGTGTTTTCAATGGAAATGCATTTACCCAAGGCCACATTAATAAGCTAGGAAGCAGAATAAAATATGAATTAAGAAAACTAAAACATTTTAAAGTAGAATAAAACATTCAGACACATTTAGAAAACAGACTATAAGCTATAATAAGGTTAAAAGATAGTTAATAGCAGCATTCCTTAGCACAATATGAGTTTATTGGTTGCTAGTTCTAACAGAGACATAATGTAATCTTGCTAAAGTACAGCTTCAATCTGTCAATTTAGGCTTGTGATTCAGCCATAGAGCCAGAAAACAGAGCTTTTAATTTACCCTTGCCTGGGATGCTGAATGGCAAATGAGCAAAAGGAGGCATGGAAAGTAGTTATTTTCTTGTCTCAAGTTTATCTGATGCATGTGTTAAAAGTCAATGCACATACTTGCAATTTAATCAAACCACTACGTTCCTTGGCTGACCCCTCCAAGCTATCTGCTTAGGCACTGAATCATAGATAAATTGAATCCTTCAAAGAACAGCAGATTCCAGCAGATTCCCTGTCAGAATTTTCTAATGACTCAAGTGAGCTACAATTCATTACAGGAAATTCACAAAAGCTAATATTGAGCCAAGTGTAAAGGCACTTTCTGGCAGGCCCCCAGGTTTTTAATGGATTCACAGGGTCAAGTATGGAGGTGGATTTCTATCAGTCATCATTTAATGCAGAAAAATGTTGATTCCCTCATTCTCTTTGACATCCTGGGCAGAGTTAATGAGGTTATAGGTTAATAATGCAATTTACGCTTTTCAGGCTTCTAGAAGAGGTATGCAGAGCTGAATCTATACCATATGAAGCAGGAAAGCCTCCTGAGCTAGGAGAGTGTAAAGGCTTTGTTGGCAGGTACATTATATTTAAACCTTTCTCTTCAGTAGTGTCTAAAAGAGCTATCATTCTGAGAGGTTGCATCACAGTAAGCTGTGTAGCTCATAGGGTTACCAAATTTCATAACAAGGTTCCCAGTGTGTTGGTCTCACTTTTATAGTTTAGCTTGGAAGAAGCAAAGAGCAATGTCAGCAACCAGAAAAAGGCAGGAAGAAGTGAAACAGAGAGGGAAAATTGCAAGCTTGGTTAGCAAGGGACATTTCTCCTTACTAGAATGGGTGAAAACTTTGGGCATAGATGTGCCATAGATGTTGCCTTTCACAGAAAGGTGGACCCTCAGGGGATGAGGTACTAGGAAAAATGGTTTACCCATAACCCCAGGGATCTAGATTCTTCTGATGAGTCAGAAAACTCATACTGACATTCACTTGGTTCTGAGGAGAAAATCTTACAACTTGCATTAGATAAGAACCCTCTCATACTTTCAAGGTACAGAAGCAAACGTTAAAAATAGTAGCAGGTCATGACTGCTTGTGGGGTCTGGCAAAGAAGAACACAAAACAATTCCAAAGGAACTGAATCATCATCAAAAATCTTAAGAGAAACTTCTCTTCACAACTTCAAATGACAAATATGGGAGCGTTAGTAAATGTGAGCAGTCATACCACAAAGGAGCCACTCACCACTAGCTTCATAGAGGGAGTGAACAGAAATAGGTGAAGGTAGACTACTTTGGGAGTTTAACGAAGGGAAATTTTCCTGATTGTTCTCTGCATATTAGCATAGAGCTCCTGTATTTTTGGATAAAACAGAAAATATTCTATCTTTAAAGAAGGTTGGAAATTGGTTCCAACACAGCTGAGCAAGTTGTTCTTCTCCAGAACACTTGGTGTCTTCTGTCAGCTCCCTGCTAATGTGGAGTGTTTCCCATAGTCATGGAACCCTAGGCAGAATGACTAACATTGTTCACAACAGTGTTGGGGAATCCCTGGTTTAACTGCTTTCTTTGTGTTTGTTTTCTACAATTCCTTCCTCCAAACACTGAAAAGAATTGGGTGAAAAGGGACAACTGCTTTGTTCCTATATCCCTCTCTTTCCCTTCATCTGAAAATGGTTTTACCTATCAGAACTTTCATGGGAAAACTATTTTTCTTCTTACATATATGGTCTATGAAGTTCAAAGAATTGTTATTCTTCATTTCATTATGAATAATTTTAAAATGTTTTCATTTTCATTTTTTAAGAATAGTATCCATAATTATATCGTAAGCCATTTCAACTTTCCCATACCCTTTGAATCAGGCAATGCATACATTTTCAATTTTCTGTATTAAATTATTTCATTTCCCAACTCTGGACATGGGATTTCCCTGCAGCTTATTATATATTTGTTAAATCTTAAGCGTACAGGCTGTTTGCTAATAATGTAATCCAATAAAAACACATTATTAGTGAAGTTCTTTTATTAGTTTCAAATAAGAAATTGTTCTTCTTTTATTAAAAAAGAACTTTCATCAGATTTAAATTTCTAAGTACATAAGATGAAAAACATAAAGACACAGAGCATGAAACAAAGTTATGGCATTTATTTTCTTAGGAGTTTTCAAAATTGTCTATTCAAAACAATAGTCTAGTTAATCTTATTCTGAATTAAAAAATAGTAATAAATCTCCCTTCTGGTTGATACAAGAGGGAGAATTGATATATTTATTTACATTTATCTAGAGAATGTAAAAACATACAGGACAACAGAAGGAATGGATCTGTTAAAACAATTTTTAAAACAATTACTGCATTTTGATATAGTCCAGGCATCAGTAAAGCCTATTTCATTATGAGAGATCTTCAAAAACTTCATGGGAACTCCTTTTCAAACTTATTTTACTATAATTTTAACATATTAATAATGCAAATTAATGTGTTTCATTTGATATTTCCATACACATATACTTTGCCTTCGCACTTCCAACTCTGGAACTGCTCAATGGCGCAGCAGAGCTAAAGGATAGTTTCACAGTTCCCTCTGGTGGTTAGAATTTGGTAGTGTTCTAGCTGAAATGCTGTTAGGAAAGGAAAACTTTACTATGCTTGGTGAGTTTTTTTTTCTTCCTCTCTCAGGATGGGATTAAAAAAATGTAAACTTATTTTATACATATATTAGACATATTATAATTGAACAGTGTACAAATCCAAGTCATTCTTTCTAATTATCTAAGGTAAAAAGTACTAGGTTGAGTAGCGCTATTCTATTTTGACCTATAAAAGCAGCAATTAAAAACAATGCATTATGTCATATATAAACAAGCCAGGTAGTTTTTCAGTTGAATTTGGTAAATCAGAGCAAATCTTCAGACTAGTTTTCTGTCTTTAATACCCTTCCTGTACCTAGCACTCTTCTTAGAGCTTGGCTGGCACTTAGGGTTCTAGGCCTAGGTTTCTTGGTGTCCTTCTCAGGATTTCTTAGCCTAGGAGGATGCACCATTTGCGATTTGTGCCCTAAGTGAGAGCGATTACGTTTATATTTACCCCTGCTTTTTTTTTCTTTCTTAACCAACTTTAAATTACAAAGGAACGGATCAAGGGATCGTCTGCTTTATCGCTCTGTAATCTAGCTCTGAAATACTGCTTGGTCTCCTAATACACTGTCAGTGAATGTTGAATAATTCAATAAATATGACTGACTCCTTCATATATACCTCCATTTAATTATCAACTTTGTTTTGCTTGATTGACATGCATTCCTTTCTACACTTTTTT